GGACTTTGGACTTGGTGTGCTTTTCAATCCATTCCTTGTGTCTGTGTCTTTTCTCTCCTCAGTCTTGAACCAATTCCCTTATCATAACTCAAGTTTCTTTTTCTTCTCTTGCAGCAAAGACACTTACAGCAGGGACATAGGAGCAGGTCAGAGCAGATAAAATTGCTTCTCAATGAGGAAAGGAACACTTAAACCCCTCACTGTTACCCAGTTAGGTTTTTTTTTTTTTTTTTTTTTTTCCATGAGAGGAACTCTACCGTGGTGAAGATGTTGGGGAAGGTAGAACACACTCCGAGGAGTGGAGTTTCCAATTTTGTTTCTCACTAAAATTTTGTTGCTATTGTTTCCTTTTCTAGAAAAGAAACCCAGGATTAAGCTAGGACTTCCTCAACAGTAAAGTGTTTTAACCTATAGCTGGGTACCCATACTGTCCCTGAAAATATCTGCACTGTGGAAAGGATGTGGTTTTGTTTTGCATGATCCTCTGAGTGACTATAAAGTGTTGGCACAGGATATGATACAAAATGGCATAGAAATAATTTCAATGTCACAATTTACCTGCCTTGAATTCAGCACAGATTTCTAATTATAAAACATTATTTTATTCTGACAAAAATGAGTGGGCATAAACCTTTTAAAAATTAGGCTACAGGGTAAAAAAGAAGTTGGGGCAAATGAAAAGTTACTTTGTTTGCTTGCTTGAGATTTGGTGCATGACTATGATGCAGGACAAGATAGAACTCACTGTGTAGACCTGGCTGACCTTAAACTCACAGAAATCTTCCCATCATGCCTTCTGCATGCTTCACAAGCATGAGCCAACATGGCTGTAATTCTTGCAAAGAAGAAATATACTGAAAAAAAAAAGCATTGTCTTAGTCTATTTGGCTGCTGTAACAACACCACAGGCTAGGTAGGACATGGACAACAGAAAGTTATCTCTCACAGTTCTGGAGACTAGGAAGCCTGGAGTAAGGTGACAGCAGATTAGGTATTCAGTGAGGGTCAGCTTTCTCCTAGGTGGCACCTTCTCTTTGGGACCTCTCTTGGTAGAAAGGGCAAACGATCTCCCTTGGGTCCCTTTTGTAAGGCCTTGATCCTTTTCTTAAGGGCTCCACCTTCATGAACTAATTACTTCATGAAGGACCATCTCCTAATACTATTATACTCTGAATTAAATGTCAACCTACAAACTATAGGAGTACAGAAACATCTAGATTGTAGAAGCCATCTTGGACATGGAAATCTGTATAATGCACTGGGTTTGATCCCCAAAACTGTCCTTTATTGGGGTTGCTTGTTTAATACAATTTCAATAAATCCTAATTAATTGGAAGAGATACTATTTTCATTTAGTCAACATTTAGTAATGTCTACAGGATTTTTGGGGGGTGGGGTGGTGGCATGTGCAGATGTGGACATGGTTCTAGTCTTTGCAGAGCCTTCATACCAGTTACTACAGAATCTGTACAAACTTGCTATTGTAGTCTTGGAGAAATTGGTGTGTGCGCAGTGTGTGTGCGCAGTGTGTGTGTGTGTGTGTGTGTGTGTGTGTGTGTGTGTGTGTGTGTGTGTGTGAGAGTGTGTTCATGTTTGTGTGTACACATATGCATTTGGGGGTCAGAGGTCAACCTTGGCTATTATTTCTCAGGATGGCTGGCCATCTTGGTTTTTGGGACAAGCCTTCTCACTGGGACCTGGGGTTCTGCTTAGGCTAACTAGCCAGGGAGAACCTTGGGGATCTTTCTGCTCTCTTTGTCCCATGATCCAACAGCCTGATCTTTTACATCAGTGCTGGAGTTCAAACTTAGGTCCTCTGCTAGCACTTTGTGGTTAAGCCCAGCTCTAGTCATTTCTTTCTTGCTGTCTACAAGATGGGGATAAGGAAGGATGAATATTATTATGGAGACAAACTAAAGAAAAGACAGGTTTACCTCTACCTTGCTGAAGGTAAATATTCTAATACCAAGAAAGTGACAGGAAACGTCAAACCCTGCTATTGATAAGTGGTTATAAACAAAATTTTAAAACTAGGAAATATGTGTACAAAAAAACTGCAACTTAGAACAAACCTGACCCTCATAGTTGGAGTATGGTGTACAGATTTTAATTCTTTATCCTGAGTTTTGAACAAAAGCCACTGAATAAGCAGTATTGCTGATGAGATAATTACAGGGAAGAATTTTGAGGTTGATGAACTGAAATATTCCAATTAATTCATCACACTCTGAATAAATGAGCATTTGAAAGATCCCTTAATATTGCCACTCGGACTGAAAGTCTACCTTCCAGTATCGGTGGGGATAATTTCTTCAAAAAGAGCTGACAATTTGAATTTTAACACAGTGCCCCAATTAACTTTGAACCAAGTGCTTTAAGCACTGAGCTTCTGTCTGTTGAAGAGATAACAATAGCTGAAATTGAAGAAATTTCTTGGCTGAAAATTAGGTAGTGAATGCAATTTTCTCATGATTTTACTGGTTAATTTACATATGCTAATAGAGATATGGTATGCCATATGTTACAAATTGATTGGTATCTAGGCACAGCTATCCCTGGTTGACAGTACGAAGGAGCTGCTTTTTAATATTCTTAGTCTCCTTAAGCAGCTCCTGTCTTCACTTTCCAAGCAGCTGGATTCAGGATGCTCTCCTGTGCTGAGAGCATCTCCATCTCACCAACCCTGTGGAAGTCTCCTTGGAGTCAAAGTGGCTCTTGTTTATCTCCTCCCACCTCCAGATGCTCATTTTTTCAATGTCCTAGGTAGATGAATAGAATGGTCCCTTTCGCCACACACAATTGTGTGCCTGTGAAATGGGGAAACTGAGTAAGACTGGAGTCATGGTTTGAATGTGAAATCCCTCTCACCATCTCATGCGTTTGAACACTTTGGGAGGTTTTGAGGCCTTTCAGGCATGGGCCTAGTGGGCAGCCACGGAGGTGGGACCCGAGGAGGTCTTGGTCCTCCCACTTAAATTGCCCTCTTATCCACAGAAGGCTATTTGGGTGATAGCTAGGAGTGGCTCCTCCATGACCCGGGGATGTGTAGTGGGATCTGCATCACCTGTTTCAGGACCTGCTTCAATAGCACTCTGAACTCTCACTCCCATGCCTTTTTTTGGGGGGGTGTCCTGGTTTATTTTCTACTATTGCAATAAAGACAGTGACCCAAAGCAACTGAGGAGGAAAGGGTTTATGTAGCCTATGTGTCCCTATCACAGTGTATCACAGAGGGATGCTAAGGCAGGAACTCAAGGAAGGCAAGAATCTGGAGGCAGGACCTTCAGCAGAGACCACAGAGGAACACAGCTTGTTGCTTCTTTTCATGGCTTGCTCAGTTGTTTTCCTCTGTAGCTGGGGACCACCTGCCCAGGGATGGCACCTGCCACATCAATCATTAACAAAGGTGAACAGACTTGCCCATAGGCAATCTGATGGAGGCACTTCCTCAATTGAGTTTCTGTCTTCCCAGATAACTCTGGCTTCTGCCAGCACAGTGAGGAAGGGCTTCTTTTGGGTGATGGATTCCACCTCTAACTCCTCTAGTAGCAAAGAGATGGATTCCCCAGAGTGGGGAGGTAACCTGAGGATGGTGTTTTAGCTTGTCTTGAAGAGCTCAAACATACATATTTGGGTGTAGAATGAGTTTCCTTTCTCCAAAGAGTTGGTTTGGGTTATTATGGGGGATTCAATAATCCAGACAAAGACAAAGAAAAGGAAGCTGACTGGAGCCCCCCACCCCCATGGGAGATTTGAAAGCCCAAGAGGAAGGGGTTCCAAGTCCATGTCTTGGGTTGGGGTGGGGAAGAAGCAGGAAGTTGGTCATTTTAAAGTTTAATCTACCTAGGGCTTCTTTTCCCTGTGTGTCTGCTTGCTGTCATCTGCCTGCCTCCTAGTCTTTTGAGTGTTCTAGATGTCTTTAAAAAAATTAGGAAGGAAAAGCTAATTCATACATAAGGATGTGGAGGAAATGTCTGTGTTTTCCATGTTACCTCGTTTATGAGGATGTGTTATTCTGTGTTGTCTCAGGATGTCTTCCTCTATTAGCTGCAGCTGCTCTTTTATAGGCAAGCTGTAAATCCCTCATTGATTTGGCATGTCTGGGTGCAGGATGTTTGATTAATGTAGGCTGGCTATTGAGGGCCTGGGTGCTTGTCTGAAACTCAGCCATTAGCAATCTCAAAGGATTCCTAGAAGTAAAACATACTTAATTCCTTCAAAATTGGTAGGAATGAGATAAAGTATCATAAAATACTCAGATTACAGAAATACGAATAATTTGACATTTATTTTCTTTTCAGGATCTGGCAGCATTCACAGACATCACTAATGCATCTCAATTATTGTAAAGACAGACATCAGAATGAGCTGGTGACATGGAAAGCCATGCTTTTCGAATTGTAAAAACCCAGTGATCACAAACTCTCCTTTCTGTTTTCCCTACAAAATAATGTACAACATGAAATTATATTGTCTGAGACCTCAACACATTCAGTTCTTTGCATCAGATGACCATGCAATTCCGAACCAGGAGGGCAATGCGTAGGGCTGTGACACAACTCAGACAGACTTCCTGTTTCTGTGTATGGTGAAAGAAAATGGCCCCTCAAAGGGAGTGGCACAATTAGGATGTGTGGCTTTGTTGGAGTAGGTGTGGTCTTGTTGGAGGAAGTATGTCACCGTGGAAGCTGGCTTTGAGGTTTTATATATGCTCAAACCATGCCCAGTGAGATGGTTGACTTCCTGTTGCCTGCAAGATGTAGGATTCTCAGTTCCAGCACCAGGTCTGCCTGTATGTTGCCACGCTCCCTGTCAAGATAATATGGACTGAACCTCAGAAACTGTAGGCTACCACCACAATGAAATGTTTCCTTCATAAGAGTTACCATGGACATGATGTCTTTTCACAGAAATAAAACTCTAACTAAGACATTGTGTCATGTGAGAACCTTGGTGGTTATGATTCTTAAAGCCTCTTGAAGCTTCAGGACTTTGCTCCTTTACTTGTCCACGTTAGAAGTTGGTGGCATCAACTTCTTACCATTCAGATTTAAATATAGAGATAGTGATCCATTTAAATGTCTGTAGTGTGGAAGAGCTTTGTATCAATCATGAGCAATTCCAAGAGCATGCTATACAGCTGTTAATCCTGAGATTTGAGAGAGACAAACCAGTTCCACAATTTTGAGACAAATTTGAAGCAAACTTTAATTAAATGCTGACCAGGATGGACTCTGGTCAGGTCCATTTTATGAGACCCCTGGGAGTGGCTCCAGTCACATTTTGTAGGGGCTTTAAAAGGCAAAACTTACAATTCATTGCATTTCCCATCAGCTTCAAGCATACATCTTGACATATTTCCTGCCTATATACCTTCTTGCCTTCATGTGGTCAAGTACATCTGGTGTTGTTGGGTCAAACAAACTTGTTTAGGGGAGTGAAAACATGTGGGAAATAAATTTTTATTTCCCAAGAACTACAACTCCCAGCATTCTAGGAAGTTGCCTTGTCCTTGGGGGAGTGGGGCTTACAGGTTGACTTTGGCTCTTACACAGGATTTACAAGGAACAAGAAAAAGGCTCCTAATTTCGCTAGAGGTCTATATTCATGTGACTTGTTTGATTCACTAGGTGTCCTGTTTTATTGTGAATTTTAAAACCCTAGTCAACTACAAGAAAAACCATTCTATTTAGTGAATGAAATGAGGACGTGACCACTCCAGAGGTATCTGGAAAAGTCTAGAGTAAACATGATCAGCAGAATAGACTTGGGTCATGAGATGAGAGAGAAGGGAGAAGGCAAGAGAGGAAGAGAGGAGAGGTAAGAAGAGAGAGGGCAAATGGATGAAGAGAGGACCAAAATGGCTGAGTTATATAGGAAGGAGAAACTGGGGGAAGGGTATTGAAGTACAGGGGCCCAGAGAGGTTTAGGGTAGGGGCTGGGGGCAGTGACAAGTGCTGAGAGGAGCCACTGTAATAGGTACTTGAAATGCTGGGAGAACCTGATAACCAGCATCTGCTTTGATATGCTATTAGGCACCTGAGTTAGCCATTGGTTCCACTTTCCTGGGGACCCAACATTTAGTTAGTTTCAAGGACTCAGTAAAGTAATTCACCTGTGCAATTAATATTCGGCAAGAAGTAGGAAACACATGAATAATGATAAATTTAGTGAGACTTAGTTTTTGAGAAAGTCATATTACCATATTAAACCTCATTTTAAATTTAATTTTATTTCCTATTTGTCATTAGCTAAGGAACATTATTTTAACTTTGGTGATTTCCACTGTTGGCTGTTTTAGAAGTATCTTGATATAACGTATATAATACATACTTTTTTCAAGTTGATTCTAGTAATTCCTTGAAAACATCGTGCTCTACTCTGTAATAACTCTGGAGACCTGATGCCCCACAGATGTTGAACAGAATTTACTTCCTGGGGTAAAGAGTTCTGCCCTTGCAATTCCAAGAGGAGCTGAACTACTTGTCAGTGACATCACAGGGAAGACTATAACAGATAACCTTATACTTGCTTTCCAAGCCTATTACCCCGTGCTTCTTAGAATGTCACTCACACACACTGAACGTGACCTAGCCTCTTGAAGACCACAGCATTCTAGAACCTGAAAAAAAATTATGGTACTGGCTTGGGTGTTTAAGATACAAATCAGCTTAAACTTACAGGACAAACTTTTATTTACTGTCACGATGCAACTGTCAATACACTCATTAACACCAACATAAATCTCTTAAATGTTTTTTGTTATTCAAGTAATAATTTTTTAGTCTCCTTTCTTACTCACCCCACATCTCCACAAAAAGGATGCAGGTTACTTGATCACTGAAGAACCTACTCAATGAGTCTTTGGAGTTACCCCGGGTTTCCTGTTGTCCAGGTGACTGGAAGAATTTCTGCTATGATGCATTCTCCCTGGGCTATATTTGAATTTCCTAGTCCAAAATTAACTCCAGAAGGATTCTCTGCTTGATGTTATGGTTAAAACTTATTCAATATAGATAAACTGTTCTGTAAAGTTTGTCAAGATAGTGCATAGGGCTTTGGACTAGGACAGAAATTAATTCATTTTTCACTTTTCCCAAGAAATGCTGTAGGTGCAAAACAAAACAAAAAAAGTGGGGAAATGATTTTGGGCACATATTTCATATCACATGCAAGGAGTGACTCAGGCCACAATTAAGTGCCCTCAAGATGGGACATTACACACGATCAGATCCGCACACCTGTGTAAACCCTTTATTAAAGCAACAATCAGACTACAGGATGGATCACACATCATGTTTTCTTCTTACTACAGTGATATCAATGTATACCTTAGTCATTTGTTTATGTCTTTAAATTATTTGAGTATTTTTTCCTGATACATTTTTTTCATCTCATTTCCAGTCTAACAAAGGATGTTTAGAACTAGTGATGTACAGGAAACCAAAAATAGATGCAAATACATTCTCTGAAACAACTCACTGGTCATGGTTCTGTAATATTAGAAAGATACATTTTGAGGCTTTTGTAATTGGTTAAATAATAAAATTTATTCCATAATGTTCTTAGAATGACTTCCTTTCTGGTTTTATTCTATCTATTTTTAATGATTGTAGTACTCCCAGTGTTGGCCCCTTTACATTTGCATTTCTAAGAAAAAACAGTCATTTAAAGAGCATCCTTCTCACATGAGATTTTCTTGTATAATCATCAAACATTGTCTTTTGGAAAATACAAGTAATTCTGTTCTATTTGATTATTTTACCCACAAATGATTTGTTTCATCAAAACCTGTTAATCTCTGTAGAAATCATAGAAGGCCATTAGGAAAATGAACTTTGTTATTGGTTTGAAGGCTTTATCGGTGAAATGTAAAATTGATATCTTAACATTAACAGATGTTCAAAGCTATGTGTGTGAATATATAGTGAAGTTTGGTTGGTATTTAAAGAGTTTCAGGAAGTGTTTAAGGTGCAACAATAGAAACTGGGATAACTTAGGGGGGTTGCCAAGAGGATGCGTGAAGACATGTGAAGGGTAGCAATTGAACGTGCTAAGAAAATAGTGTTTGAAATAGACTTTAATGTTCCACTTCTTACTGAAGGAAAACATGGAAACCCCCAGTTAAGCTAACCACTGAGACTGCCATTTAAGGGTTCTAACATACAATTAAACATTCCCCTTCAAACCATGTAAGAAAAGAGAATGGACTTGTTTATCTATAACATTTCTTCCAGTGCCAGATGGGTGTCCCCATAGTCACCAATAGTGGCCGCACTAAGTATCCACTGTGCCTATTCAAAACATGCAAGCACTCTTCATGCCCTACACTTCGTGTGCAAGAGAGCTAAGCAGATGCTACCTCACCAGTGAATGACAACCCAGGCATGGGATTTAATGCATGTCCTCAGTCTGTTAATGTGGTTTACACAGCCATAACGAGATTCATTCGAGTTGCTTTCTCACCATTTCCCATTTGACCTTCAGAAGGGCGTGTCCAGTTGAGGAAGAAACAAACAAGATAAAGAAGGGAAAGAGATTCCAAAATCCATCCTGTGGGATATCAGCCCTTTCAGTCTTCCTTGTGAAACAGTAATGTTCGTGAGCACCCCAGACATTTGGGCCGTAATGACATGACACAACAAGGCTTGGCATGGGTGAGAACATTCAGAAATTTCTAGAGCAAGTTATATACATTATGTATCACATATATCACATTTGGTTTCTAGATATTTTAGTCAAGTATTAGCATTTCTTTTTGCCAACTGTGATGTACAAAAAGATGAGAACAACAGATGTGCCCTAAAGATATGAAAATATAAATATATAAAACAAAACATTATAAATTACATAGATTTTTTCCTATATAAAATTTTGGGTATTTTTCCCATTTAGAATAAATACTACCCAAGCTTATAGATCATCTAAGAGAATTAAATATGCATATTTATGTGAATCATGTTCAGAATTTCAAGAAAAGAAACTGCTAGAAGTATGACCAGGATGACTCTGAAACCAGAAATTATTTTTTAAAGAATGACTATAGAAGACCCAAAGGACATACATAGGTTGGGATTGAGGGTTGAGCTTTTAAGCCAGCCCAAATGAATCCATTGTGCATGAGCCTGTAGGCATGTGTGATCAACGGGACTCCATGAATGATTCTAAGAATCTGAATGATTCATTCACTTTTTGGGGAAACTATCAGTTGAGTGTTATGAGGTCTTCCACATTTCATATTCTGGTAAAGAGGCTGTTCTCATTTTGTTAGGTTCTGTGGAGGAGCATAGAATTTCTGGGTGGATGAATTCCATATCAAGCCAAATTCCCTTTAAGGTTGGATATTGTTATACTGAGAACATTTGATACCTTAAAGAGGGAAGTTTGAAAATCATCCACTTATTCTCTATCCCACTTCAGTGTAAAGAATCAAAATCAATGTGGAGACATTCTTTGGTCATGTATTTCAGCTCTTACATCAAAGAAAAATCTGCCTACTTTAGCTTATTATCCTTAATCAGTATCTATACGGCATGGATACTTTGCCCTCTGGTTTTCATGGGGGATTTTCATGGGGAAGTCGGCACATGGGCTTGGATGGAGTGAGAACTGAGAGGCATAGAGTTCACATAGCATCACAGACATCCACTAGTCAGTCCCTGTTGTTCCTCTGGGTATATGTGTGAAAAGTAAGCATTTGCCAATCTCCAAGACAGTCATGGAATGTGTATATTCTAAGAGCTGGGAATAAAACTTTTCTTCAATGTGACTGTATAAAGTCCCCATCCAGAGAGTCCCCAAAGAAGCCTTGGATCCTTATGGCTACAGGATACAAGTTTCTTTAGATGACCCACAAGAATTTTCAACTAGGGACCATTGAGGAATTCCTCTTAAAGGGAAATCCGATCAAACTCCAACTCCTGTCATATTGCTTTGCATAAGAATTGTCTATAACCCTGTCACAGTCACTTGTACAGCCAACCCTGCCACCCTCAAAGTTACAGATGCACCTGCTGTAAAGTATGTACCACGTTAGCTGTTCCCATTGGCTTAAGGGTTATTACAGTTTGAAGACTTGCCACAAATTTCTAAGTGAGCTTCGAGGAGTCATCTAGGCTGCTGACCATTACCCACCCATTTGATTCACACTCAAATGAAAAAGATCAAAACCTCAGCAAGAAAGGGGTCATCCAAAGTCATTTTCTCTGATGGGGGATGGAGTGATGTCCCATGCAACCTCTGGTGTGCTATGGCCTCTACTCTGACACATCCTGTAAGGTTTCGGCCTCCTTTGTTTGTATTTGAAAATAAAATAACTCATCATTCTCACCAAAGTTAAATCTAAACAGTAGTAGTGGGCCACATAATTTATTTTTTGTAGGAGAAAATTTCCAGAATTTGTTGAAAATGCTGTGATTCTTTTAAGTGGGAAAACAAAACAAAACAAAACAAAAACATTAAAATGGCATGGGAACCCAGAGACGAAAGCATACAATATCTTTAAAACAATTGTGAAAAAGGGCAAAAAAAGTTTTGCTGTTGGGTTCTTTCTCTGAATGTAATGCCTTTGACAAAGAACAGCTGTCAGAGTTCATGCCAGTTGCCCTCTCTTACAGATAGGAAAACCAAGGCCCAGATTTGCAAAAAGCCTGGCAGCTGATTATTGGCACAGTCAAGAATTAAATCTATGGATGGTTGGATTGTCTTTGTTCTCTAATATCAAGCTGCCTTACATATTGCATTTTGGCCAGACAAAGAACTCAATCATTTCAGGATAAAATCCTCTGTGTCATTATCCTAATTTTTCGAGCTCCCATTCAATGATCAACAAGTTAAGTATGCAGTCTAAAAGGGATCTGGTTATGCTCTTTACAGAGCTGCTAGATGGCTGCCCTAAGTTTAGTGCTGAGCTGAGCCCCTGTGAGCCCCGCAAGGCCTTCTGGGAAGCAGGCATGCTGTACCTACAGGAATTCACCAAATGCCTCTGTCTTTGGAAGCGATAAGTCCTCTAGGTGAAGAACCTGTCATGCTTTGGAGGGCGAGGGCACTTTGATGTAAACCATTTTCTTGAGTGCTGTGGGTCTACTTCAGCATTTATAATCTTGGTCCTACCTCAAGCTGAGTTCACCTAATTGGACAGGTAAACGTTTTTATTTGACTGTTTAAAGTGCTACTTGGGGGCTAAGTTTTTCTCAGTTTCACAATAGCAGCATCACTGGAAACAGAAAGTGTATGAACATAGGTGTGAGGGTATTTTTTTTTTAAAAAGAGAAAACTAGGAAAAAGAAAAGAAGAGTGTAGTAACTACTGTGGGGCATTCCAAATAACATAGATATCAGAGATGCCAGTGACTGACACCCAAGACTCTGAGGTAAACACTAAGAAAAAAATAAGGACAAAGGTGACACAGAAGGTTCCAGCAGAAAGAGCAATTAATATTAATATAATAGCAACTACTCCATTATAAAAGAACTGTGAAGATAATTAAAACTGAGAAGAAAGTGCAACAAACCCATGTATGAGCAATTGCTACTGTAGCAGACTTATAATTTTCAAAAGAAAAGCAATGCAGTATGCATTAGACAGGGCTCCTAAACTCAGAACATCTGACAGTAGTGTACTCTTGGCCAAAAGGGCATCACCAATTAAGGGATTTGGCAGAGAATGGCCTCTTCAATTCAGATCACATGGACAGACCTCTGCCCCATCTTATCAGTTCTGTACCCAAGCACGTCTTATGTCTTTTCCTACTGGGGTGAGTCTAGTCACATGAACTCCATGCAGGTGTCTTCCCTTTCATGGGGCATCACTCCTACCTAAGGGATGAGAGTCTCCTGGTAAGGCTTAGCGGTAAGTGCATACTACGTTTGTATTACAAGGAGCAGCCCCTGATTTTCTTGATATGCATAGCTTTTCGGAGTTAAGATTAGACATGGCTTTCATAAATAATGCAGGTGTTTTTGTCACATGTCATTGCTGGCTCTGTCGTTTCCAGGTGTGCTGGTGGCAGTCCTCGCTCTGGTACCTCTACTGGTGATGCCTCTTCAGAAGTCAGCTCTGTGGTCGTGATGTCTGTAGAAGGCTCTGCAGTCTCTGGGGAATGTTCCTCTGATGGTTCCGTCTCCTCTTCATCTCTGACCTCAAACTGCCCACCCTCTTGGTCATCTACATGATCCTTTCTGGACTGGGGGTGAACTGAAACCTTGATGGCAATCTGCTGAGGCTGTTCATGCAATGACGAAGCATCGGAGTCGGCTGTGGGGGACTCACTTCGCTTCAGAGAGTTGGGGATGGTGTATACCTCATCCCTATCTGTGGCCTCCTGGCCTTCTGGGGTATGCCTCACAAAATTCTGCCCCTGCTCCTCCAGCCCAACCACTTCCATGATCTCCTCCATGATTGTCCTGCAGTTCATAATGAGGGGAGGCAGGGGTACGCTTCTGGCAAGCTCTTCGATGTACCTGGCAAACTCCATGGTTTTGAACTGGGTCACTTTGGCAAGCTCTAGAGTTTTGGCTGAGGTGATGATGGGGATGCGCTTAGCGATCTCAAATGCCTTCTGCAGCTTCTCAGCACCTTCTGTCCTAAAGAACTCATTGATGGCTTTCTCGGTCTTCTTCAGGTGGCTGCTCATCATACACAGGCGTGTAATATTGAGGACCATGACGATGGTGAAGGCCACGAGGCACACAACCATATAGTACACACCCATGTCTCCAGAGGTAAAGATGACTCTTAGGGTCACCGTGTTGTTTACAGTGCCATAGATGTTAGATGCCACACATGTGTATTTCCCTCTGTCTGAGAAAGACACCTTGGTGATGTTCAGAAGGCCGCCATCCAGCATTTGCCATTTTTCTGTCAGAAGGGATGGAAGACAATTCAATGAAGAGTATAGGATTTCCATCACCACACACTATTATGCCCATTTAAAAACATGTTTGGTAACCAATGATGGCATCAAGCATGTGACAGATGTGCTTGTGACACCCACCCATTCATCCCCTCTGGACCACTGTCAGGAAGCACTATTTTGGGCCCTATATTATGGGTAAGGAAACGGAGGCACCCTTGAGTAATTTTACCAAGGTTACCTATTTAGAAATAGTGTATATAACTAAAACATGGATTTGTACTTGAAAAAGTGTATTCTTCTCCTTCCCCCTTCCTCTTTTCCTGGTCACAGGGTTCAAACCCGGGGCCTCAAACACATGCTAGACAAGTGCTTTACCAGTGAGCCGCACCCCAAGTCTCTAGTGTCCCACTGCCCCATATCCCTCCCTCCCAACTTCAAGCCATCTTTTGTTGTTGTTGTTGTTAATAATCCCATCCATCTAGTCAGTGGTGTCTGTGTCCATATGGGTGTGGGGACATCCACTGGAGTTCAAGCCTGCTAGAGGCAATGCCCCCAGAGGAGTGTGACTTCCTCAGTAGACATGGTTACATTGTTAACTACACTCTATAGTGTGGAATTCCAATTCCCAGTGGAAAATAAGATATGTAATCTGGAAAATGCAGTGCTTTTAAGGAAGAGTTCCCTAAGGTACCATATGCTTTTCTAGCTTGCCTGTGAGCAGAAAACTCCACTGAACACACCTCATTGGGAGTCTAAGACCTCTTGGAAGGGGAAACATTTTAGGTTCAACATAAAACCTGGAGAAAATCAATTAAATCATAATTGTTTGCTTGGGTGACTCACATTTAGGGCTGATATTATCCTTCTATGACTTTAGCTAATTAAACATAATTTTTATCATTCATTTTGAGAGTTCACAGTGAATTATCTATACTGGCTAGAGTTAGAAGCCAGCAATGATGATTCAGAGGTCAAATATGAATTAATACCAACTAGCTTTAGCCTTGAAAATAAGTGAAGCCCACCAGGATGATGATAAGTCTGGCAAGAAGGAAAAGACACTTTGAGAACTATGACCTTATGCTAGCCTGGGAATGATGTTCTAAACCCAGAGTGGGTCTGTATTCCTGCAGCTCTCAAGATTTCTGTGAAATAGGATATCAGGCTTGGTTTCCAAGTATTGGATCAGAGTCAGAAATTAAATCTTAATACCCATCTATACTGTCTCCCAGAGAGCAACAAGGCTCCAAGCTAAGTGTCTTGGAAGTGTTAAGGAACGGGCAGATAGGTTTTCATAAAAGGCATTTTGTCCTCTGAACCAAATAGAGGAACCCCCTGAGAGATGGGATTATTTAAGTTTTAGTGTCTATTACAACCATATGCCCAACTCACCTCTCCCCAACAGGGTGGTGACTTATTTGCAATTAAAAGTCTGGTGAGGCTGAGAGGAACTCAACTACCCAAATGGCAGAGCACTTGCCTCACATTCAGAAGGCCTGAGTTCAAGCCCCAGATCTGCTTAAGTTTCAGAGCTCATAAACAGTCGGAGTCTCAATGGGTTGCTCTATGAGGTGTCAGAAGACCTGGTGTCTTCTAAGCCAATGGTGCTTAAAAAGGACAGATGGTACTTTCCTGGGTTACAGCACCTCCCGGTTACCTGCAGCTGACACTCTGGTAGGAGGCCTCCACTTAGGTGCTGTCCCATTTCTTTGCCTTCTGAAAGAACATGTGTGAAGAGTGAGTCCTGGTGTCCTAGACTAACCCTCTCTTCCCCTAAGAGTGGAAAGTGCTGCCTTAGAGTCTAGCCATTTCAGATCCTAGTAAATGTGCTGGAACAGACAAACCCAGCATGTGGTCTGTGATAGTCTCCATTCCCATGCAGCTCAGGCCAAGTGTTCATTCCCTGAGCATGAATTTGAATCCTTTTGCTGCAGTTAGCTGCATTTACAATGACCAGAGTCCAGGGAAACTGTATTATCAATTTATTTTCTGATAATGTGCATGTTTCATGTAGACTACAGCAGGCATGAGGGGAAATACCCTCATTGATGGACAGTTTATTTTACATGGAAGGTGCTGGGTTTCAGAGCCTAGCCTTGGGAAGTGTTCTCATATCTGCCTTCCTTCTTTTGGAAAGGGATAGGATGGGAGAGAGTGAGACACAAGAAGGGTCAATTTGGTTATCTGCACTCCATTGCCTTTCTCCACAAAGCTGGAACAGGATGCACTTGGGAAATGAAAGAGCAGGAGAACATTAAATGGGGCCAGAAGCTTTCTCCCCATGCTCAAATAGTAGGTTTTGTGGAATTCTACCCACTTTCCCAGAAAAAGAAAATGCAAAAACACACATCAGCTTCAAGGAATGGGTGTTTCCCTCTAGTGGGTATTTTTACATGTTCTGAATTTGACCTTTATACTTATTCCAGACATACTTTAAATTTTCTCTTGACTCCCATTTATCTAACTTGAGGCCAAGCAGTTAAATTGAGACATGCAGACACTTGGAAAGTGTCTTACTGTGCTGTTAAAAGGAGCACAACTTGGTATAAGACACAAGCCAGTTTACTGATATCTGCAGTTCATTCTGGGAAACTGGCCTTTTAGCAGGTAAGTGATTGCTTACAAATGCATTATGGTTCTTAGGTCAGAACTATGATTCCTTAAACTAACGTCTCTTAAGTGCTTACTCTAGCACAAAAATGTCATTCACTTTACAAAAAGCTTTTTATTCATGTGTAGGTGTATGAACCTGTGTAAGTTTATATGTACAGTACGCATGCCTGAGCCCAAGGAAACGAAAAAAGGGGGTGAGGATCATGGAACTGGAGTTACAGATGGTTGTGAGCCATAGTGTGGGTGCTGGGTTGCAAAAGCAGTAAGTCCCCTTAACTGCTGAGCCATCTCTCCAGACCCTTGTTTTGTTTTTAAAGTTTGAAGCTCAAACACCTATGTGTGAAGTGAATATTGTGACTTAACTGTAAGGCAAAACAAATACAAATACATATATTGTGGTCCCCAAACAGTTTTTTAAACCATCATTTTAGTTAAATAACAGATTACCACCCTCTGCCAGTAATTTTCTGTTCCAACCTAGGAGGACAATGACACATCAATTTAGTTCCTGAAACCAACAGCATGTTTGTTTTATGGATTCAGCAAATCTCAATGACAAGTAGGGTTCTGCCCATGTGTCAATGAACACATGATGTAGATTAACATTCTGTCACCAGACAACAAAGCAAGTCAAAATAGTGGAAGCCTATAAACACACATGTACGCCCGCACACACCCCTTTCAATGTTCATGCCAGATGAACTGAAGTTCTGATTCTCTGTTTGAAAGGCTAGGTTTATCTGTATCTGTTTCTCCTTGGCTGCTAAGTTCACTCTTTTCCGGACACTAAGACTCCAAATTCTACTTAACCTCAGCCTCCCCTTTCATTACTGAAAAATAGATAGGTACATGATCTATTAACAAAAGAGAGACCTGAAAACCAGGAAGATGCCAAGAATTATGCTGGGTGGTTTTCCACCATCAGGTTGGACCAGGCTCAAGAAACATCTCCCACAGTGTAGACCACCATCCCCCGTGGAAAAAGAGGTGCATCCTGTCTGTGCTATAAGGGTCCATCCACCTCCGTCTGTGAGAATGCCCTTCTCTGAGATCTATTCTGGAAGGCTCCCAACTTTGGATGCCAGAACGTGAAAGACAAGAACACCGACAATGATGGTCATAGGAAATCGTCAGTGCCATGAATACAAAGCAGGCACACAGCATGCTGCTGCCCAGTGGTTTCAACAGTAGCTGGTGGGAATGTCAGGGCTATGCACTGAATTTTCATGAAGCTGAACCACTTCAGAGCAAATAAAAACCTGAAGTGTCAGCAGTTGAAGCCAAGACAGCTCCACAAGCAATGCTTTGGGAGGCAATAAAAGGGGCAGGCTGTCAGCGATTACTTTACCTGCCGAAAATAACACGAGACCGAATGGCAAGCTTTACCCAGCATTCATTTGTGTTCCGTTCCTACTCTTATTCACTTCCTGCGTCTTGCTCAGGTTGTAGCCCCTACCTTCAAATTACAAGTTCTTTCTCTCCATCCTTTCTTCCCTGTGCTGCTTTGCAAAGTGACAGCCTTTCTGAGGCCTCAGGCTAAGGCACAGACACATTCATTATCGTAGAGTAGTGGTCACCTAGCAATCTGTCACTGTCATCCCCTAGGAGCTCCAGACATGTGAACATCTCTCACATGTGAATTGAACGTGTTGTGACAACCTCTCCTTTGCAAACAGAGGAGCTAACAGACGTGGGTTGTGAGCTGTGCTGCAGGACGGGTGCGGGGCTCCACAACAAGGCTGACATTTTCAGAAGGGCAGCCATCTCTTTTAGCTTGCCCACTCATTCAGTCAACAGATATCATTGAATAAATGGTCTGTGTACCAGGCACCACACTAGATGATGAGAATACAAAGATGAGTAAGACACGATTCCTGACTACAAAAATCAGCCAGTCCTGGTGGGGACAAGACTCCAACAGACGGCTCTAGTACTGTGTGCCAAATGCAACGGCCTGTGGAAGTGGGGGGGGGGAAGCAGGTGGGAAAAGGAATGAAAGAACAGAGAGGAGACTCTTAGGGCCAGTGGGGGGTGGTGCAGGAAGCAAGAGACAACACAGCATGAGCTGCTGAGATGACAAACCATGTATAAAATAGCAGGGCTTGGATGGAGACAGGCTTGAGAGGAATCCAGGCCAGTGTGCAGGGGGCCGGGGGGGGGGGACACAACACACAACAGAGCAAGAGCACTGGGCCTCTTCAACTTGTGTGTCTCATTTTAAGTGACTTTTCCAGATGCAATGTGCACATTTCTTCTAATAGAGAGGGCCACAGGAGCTTCCTATTACTTCCTCTCTGCCGAGACCATGCCTCTCCTAACTCTGGAGTTCCCTGCCTGACTTCACCCTCATAGCCCATCTCACACTTTGAATGGTCATCTCCGACCCTGATTAAGTCAGAGACGGAAATCAGAAAGTCCAGATTAGACACAACCAAGAGATTTAAGAGTGAATATGTAGGACTTTCTGACTTTTCAATGGAGAAACACCTTTGGCTGATTGGATATGGCAAAAAGGCATGTAAATCTGTTTTGTGTAATAAATAAAAATCCATTCAAGCACTCTTAGGACATAAAATTAAAACTTTGAAATTAGTTGAGGACATAAAACTTTTGTAACCTAGGGGAATAGAGGGCTTTTCTGGGCTTTTCAAAGAATTTCAGAAACTATAAAGGAAAATGTTGGTGAATCACATTTTCCACCAAATGAACATATTTTGAGTCATAAAAACTTATCACAAAAAGTTAGAAGGAAGTTACAAACTGGGAGAAAATTCTAGAATATTTGACAAATGCTTAACGACTGTGAAACAAAACAACACAATAAAAACCCCAAATAAACAACAACAAAAAAACCCTTATGAGTTAAGACAAAATCAAAAAGAAGAACAGGGAAGGGTTTCTCCCTTAGCAGCATCCTTCTGAACATATGCATGAACCAGCTCTATCCCCAGGGAATAGGGCAAACTGATTAAAACTCTGCTCCCAATCTCCTTGGGTACCTGGTCTCTTAAGCTTCACACACTCCCACCTTGCAAGGAGGAAGGTTCAATTTGACAAAATTAGTTTGCTAATTTTTGAAAACAGTTTACATAAAAGTGGTCAGGTGGTGAGCATTCTAATGCACATCTATGCAAATATAAAAAGACAGCCTCTGGAACGAGCATTTCCTCACACTGACATTGCAAATATGCACACAATGCCTGTGTTTGTGCCTATAAATGTGACACATATTTTCTGCTGTGTGAAATACAGACTGCTGAGGAGAAAGGCTCCCATGCCTCTCTAGAAAATATAATTGAAAACAAATTTAGTACTGCATAGCTGCACCTGTTCCAAGGCTTCTGCGACAGATGACAGACCCTTGCAGCCATTATGAATACAGTTACAAACCCTTCAAGCTTCAAGCCCTCTGGTGATCTTATCCCCACCCCTCAATCTTCCTTAAGTGTCCTCTTCAGAGAGAGTGCTGGGGCAGTTCTAACCAGCTCATTAGCTGTGTCATATGGAGCAAAGGTGACTTGGGATAAAAGCTCAGTTTCCAGTGCAGGAAGGTTGGGTTGAAGGGTTTTGCTATTCAAATCTGCACCTCTGTTCTGCTAAAAGGAGCTAATATCTGAAAAAAAAAAAAAGCCTGCTGCCTTTATATTCTGGCAAAGGGGGAAAACCCCCAATCCTCTTGTTAATTTTGTAAAAGTGACTTCCACTTGGGGTATCTCCACTGTCATTCTTATGTTAGATGGATCTGAAAGAGTCTTTTCATGGCTAAGACTGTAGCTGTCCAGTCTCACATCCAAAATGAAGCACAATTCACTAAAGAAACAGGCAAATGGTGGCAGTTAACCTTATCATGGAACAATCTTGAAAATGAACCCAAATTCCATTAACTGATCCCCTTTTTTTTGGAAAATATATTAAGGGTTTAAAGACCCAACCCAAACATCTATGTCAGAAGATTTCTTGTGTGTGTGTGTGTGTGTGTGTGTGTGTGTGTGTGTGTGTGTGTGTTGGGGGTGGGTCTCTTTGGGTAAGACCAGGGCTTCTCAATAGTGACACAGCAGCCTGTGGATCTAGGTGATTCTGTTTTGTTCCAGGACCTATGCTGCTCATTGTAGGCTTATTGGCAGCATCCTTGGCTTTTGTTCATTAGACAATGACAGTGGGGCTCTCCTCTGGAACCCAGTTATGAGAAGCAAACTTGTCTCAGAATTGGCCACATGGATTCTTGTCAGAGGTAGGAGCTGAACATCTATACACATAAAATTAAAATGGAAAGTTTACTCTGCACAGAATATATGTTGCAATTTCCAGATATTTTGCCTGTAGGAGAAGGAGAGCATCACCCATCAAATGCCCGGTGTACACAAAAGTCAATGGCTGCTATATGAAATTTCAAATAGCATTTTTGCACTTACTGAAAACATATGGATATTCTGTGGAGGTCAGAGGAAACATCCTTGAGTTGGTTCTCTGCTTCCATTGTAGGTTTCAGAGGCTCAAATTCAAGCTGGTAGGCTTGCAAGGCAAGTGCTTTTATAGACTGTGCTGCCTTGCTGGCCAAAGGGTCATTTATTTTGGTTTATGTATACAAGTGTTTCGCCTACAAGTATATACCTCGTGGATGCCTAGTGAATGCAGAAGCCAGCAGAGGGCATTGGATCCTCTGGAAGTAGAGTTATGATGTTTGCAAGCCACCATGTGGGTGCTGGGAATCAAATCTAGTCTCTTGTAAGAGCAGTTAGTGAGTTTCACTGCTGAGCCATCTCTCCAGACTCCCAAAAAGCAATTTTTTTGAGGTTGAAAACCAAGACAAAAAATGAGAAATAATCCAAATATTCTTTGTGTTATAAAAGACTCTATATTAGGAAATGGGGTTTTAGCACTTGAAATATATTGTTGTGAGGACAGAGCAGAATATTAACAAAAATGGCAGCTGTCATTTACTGTGAGCTTGGTAAGTTCTAGATACCATGCCAAGCATTCAACAGACAAGTGTTTATTTAAGACTTGCAAGTTGGCTTGGTAGTAAAGAAAAGATTCCCTCTGGTTTACATTAGAGGAAACAGGCGCTCAGAAAAGCTCGCCACTGCAATTGCATAAACTTGGTTTAATGCCTTTGGGAGTGTTCTTAGATTCTCAAGCATTTAATGTACTAAATGAGGAATCTGTGGAGGGTTTTTATAGATTTCCTGCTTTACACTGACAGCAAAGAGCAATTTAAATTTAATACTATGAGAACTGGCTCCCTAATGTTACATACACTATACATTATATGTAGTATGGGTGCACCTGTATGTGCATTTGTGCATACATGTGTATGCATGCCTGTTTGTGTGTGTGTGTGTGTGTGTGTGTGTGTGTGTGTGTGTGCATGCCTGTGTCTGTGTATTTCTGTGCATGTGCATGCATGTGTTCATGTGTGTTTGATAAAGCAAAGAAGAATGAAATGACACTTTGGAAACCTGGCTGACTTCACTTTGCAGAACTGGCATTTCCAGTCTATTAAAAGAATCTGTGGAAGAGTGGAGCAATGTAAAGGCAGCTCTGGCCAGTTTTCTCCTGCACGGTTGAGTCAAGAAAATTCTTAATGGTTTTTGGAGACAGGATAATGTGCAAAACACATCCACACCAAAAGCAGATTTTAAGGAATGGGCTTTAAAGGGTGAATTTGTCATCTCTGACAGCCAGGCTTATTTCCAAGGTCTTGCACTAGTCAACTTTCTTGAAATGCTTATTACTTCTCTGATGGAGGTGCTAAGGGGAATTTAAACATTTTAACACTGCAGTAAGAAAGCACCATCAAATAATGAGATAATTAGTGTGTCTACAATAACTGGGGGCTTTTCATTATACTCCCCAGACAAGTAGACAAAAGGAAAATGGAAAACAGTACATTTCTGTCTGTCTGTGCTCATGCACGCTTGAATTCTGAGTGAGTTCTGGAACACAGTTTGGTGGACCATCTGAAACACTCTTTTAGTGAACTTCAAAACCCTACAGATTATACATGATGCTTCCCTGATCTTGTGGGAATAAACTGAGGAGAATCAGGAAAGCCATATAAACCAGTGGCTTTGACTATCAGGACCTGCAATGTCCCCATTTTTTCTAGCACAGGTGGGGCCGCCATGCAGAACAGCTATCTTACTTTTTCAGCATAAACAAGATATGAAATTGTTTCTTTCCAGGCTAATCCCAAAGCCAACGGTAATCAGCTCCTGTGACTTTGAACACATGTGTGACACACGCACCTGTGGCAAAACTCCTGACTCTCACTAGGATGATAGTGGCTAAAAGGCCTCTTCCATGAAGGAATTCTTCCCACACACACTCTTGCTGTGTTAGATGCTCCATGTATTTCTCATCCGTTAAGGTTAAGCAGACTTTGGTCTGACACAGACAAAGCAATCCCAACTGGTTTTGTATGACACCGCATTTGCATGTCTTCTCCAGCCCCGTGACTGCCAATCTGTATCCATGAGGATTGTTAACACCTCACTTACATGCTTATCACAATGATTAGAAGTTATATATGTCATTTGTGCACAGGCTTATATATAGTAGTTGTTAATGAAAATTATCTGTACTCCAATTCATTTGCCTTAAGCAGACCCCACGTGTCTATGTGATCCACTCACCCTTTGCTCGGTTGCAAATGAAATATTGCTCAGTTTAAACTTCAAAGTGAGAGAACAGAAATCTATGTCTATGTTATAAAATGGCATTTACTCCATGAGCAATGAGAAATTAGAGACTGTGTGCTCTCACAGGCTACCCATGAACAGTGCTCATATTTCCTGAGGCAACCTCTCCTTTCTGCTACTTCCCACGTTCTGCCTGCTTGTTAGGTGTTAACTCTTGCTACATTTCCCCATGTGGCTTATGCTCTGAGATGACTATCATCACACACTGTAATTACAGAAGCTGAGCTGGGACATCAAGTACTGGGATCATGAGTTCTTTTTAAAAACTGAAAACGCATCTTCTCTGATGAGATTTAAACTAGTTAACTGATTTATCAGCAAGTCTACAGAGAGGACATGAGTGCTGAATTCTGATGCTGCAATTCTCAGGATGCTGGTAGAGTCGAGTCTCCAGATGGGGTATTGTAATAGGTCACTGGAGCTTCCACAAGCAAAATAAAATTAAAGCAAATATAAGCACCATCGCGTATAGCTCAATCAAAATATTTTACATGCTGATGAAGAAGGCAAGCCAGCGTGTCTGCTTGCGGAGACTGACTCCACGCTTCCAAAGACCTTCTTAATGAAGGCATTGTGCATTTCTCTGAAGAAGAAGGGCACAACTTTAGAATAACATTCAAAATGATGGCACTGAAATTTAGGCTCCAGCGTCACATTGTTCCCATAGTTTCCTTCCTCTGGAGGAGTCAGCAGCTTAGTGCACATACTCCTTCCTCTTTATGAGTGAACTTTGCTTCCAGGTCCATGTGAGAGGTGGATGTATGTCTGGAGTTCTTGATCCTCTCAGTTCAGTCATGCTGATGCCCAGCCCTGTGAAGGTCTGCATGTGTGTCACCATGCTGCTCTCCTCCCTTCACTAGTGTAATGGCATCCTTTTAACGTACGGCTGTGGAAGGGGTGGCATTTCTCATCTCTCCACTGTCAGCAGTGAAGGTTCTAGTCATAGTCACTTAATTGACAGCAGGACCTCAGGCAGATTTCCGTAAAGGAAACTGTTAGGCGTGGAAAGTCCACTCTACCTTAGAATTCCTATGACAGCACAATTTGAGTTGTTTCGGAATAGCTATCCTTTGCCTAGGAACATACATATGATTTATAATAGATAATATTTTGATTGAAGGGAAACAGCTATATTATACAATGCTGTCATGAGTGGCTAAGCAAAACAATGTCAGCAGTAGCATGACAACAGGGGGCACATCCCAGGCAGTTAGACTTCTAGCAGCCTTCCCCACTGGGAACATAGCTGTGAAAGAGGAGTGTGTAACTACAAGAAACTCCTAAGGAGTCTGCAAAGCATTTGACTTTCTCCGTTTGCAAAGCAATTAAGATAATACGAGGGGAAGAGATTAAATATGTAGGTTTTTTTTTTCTGGAGCAGAAACTCTTTGGGGGATTGTTCATTGGTTAGAGGGTGAAGGAGTGGGGAGGGCAATGCAAAGGAAGGAGGGGAGAGGGGCTGCTTCATATTCTCCAGACTCCAGTGCCCTACTTCATCACAGTCAAGAGCCGAACCAAGCAGATTAACTCCTTCATGTCACTCAGAGCATGCCTGGATTGTCACACAGTCACCTCACACATCTCTAACATGAAGAGTAGCTTCTCAAAGCCTGTCTCTGGATGCAGTTTCTGGTGAAGGAAGCTCAGGGCTTCAGAAGAGGACTCATACCTTTTAGTAAAAAAAATCCTTCACTAAATGCTGGTGTCTCACCTGCTGTCCCAGGTTCCCAGGCTCCTCCTCACCACTGACCCTAACCAGGTCTCCAGGAGCATTGAATGGACTCTGCAGGTAGCTGAGAGTCTATGTAGACGCTTGTTTAAGAAGTTAGTCATTAAATCCACAATAGATATGTTAAACTGACAGTTAATGATAAATAACTGTTCCACTGCTTATTGGAACCAATCCCAGGACAGGATACACACATCTTATAAATGGAACATATACTTAGGGAATACATCATAACCTCTATAATGTCTTGAGTGCCTTATAGCATAACACTCTAAGAGATATTTCCAACACATCAATGTTTGCCCTTTGTCTTCCAAGTCAAAGAGTGGAAAAAATGAATTAATTACTCCCTGAGTCCTTAAGAGGATATGGTTTCTCTTATGCCTTTGTACAAGACAGAAAGGAACTTCTGAGTGACCTGCATGAGGACAACTAACATTAGGGTATGGGTTTTTAAGTCCCTGTTTATAATTTATGCCAAGACAGGATTTTGAAACTTTCTGTTAGTATTCAGGCATCTGCATGGGCCTGTCCTTGGGGTTCTTACAGGATATGTCCTCAGCTGCAGCCACTAAGAGCACCACCTGTGCACATTCACTACATTTCCTTTTAAAGGGGCCCTGCCCACCTCCCATCCTTCTCTTTCTCCCTCTGTCTGTCCTCTCTCTCCCCTGTTCCTCTCTCTCCTCCTTTCTATCAAGGCACTGTTCCCCTCCTTGACTATGATATGGTCAGTTTTGAAAATGATTACAGGCACAGAGCCCAAGACCTCGTCAGTGCCATTTAAAGTGCCGTTGGTCAAACTCTTAGCAGTTGCTAGAGTGGAAACTAGGATTAAAAAGGGCACAGAAGGTGGTAAGCACACAGTCACATGGTTCGTCAGTAGGTCCATCTTCTTTGCTGGTTCCGTAAGGCAAGAGATGGTTTGCCGATGGAATCTTCTATCAGACTATACCCTGTTCAGAGCAGCCCATGGGATGAACCTGTCCTGGATCCATGGAGTAAGTACTTGATCAAGAATCTGTTTAGAAAGAAAAACCACATACACACAAATATCAACACTGATACCTTAAATAAAACATAAAGTAATAGCAATCCACTAAGGTTTAAGGTATAAAATAAGCCTATATCACTCTTAAATAAAACACATATTCTGGTGCTCCAATATTAATTTATAATGACAGAAATCTTAACAGTATACATTTACATATCTGCATCACAACAGTAAGAACAAATATATTTCTTATGCTAAGTTGATGTCTGTTTTTTTTTTTTTGTTTTGTTTTGTTTTTGTCTTTTGGTTGTTGTTGTTGAGGAAGGATCTCATGAAGCCCAGTCTGGCTGCAGATTTGCTATGTTGCTGAAGATAGCCACAAACTCCTGATTCTCCTGCCTCTGCCTCCTAAGTGCTGGGATTATAGACATGCATCATCACTCCTGAATAGTACCCTGCTTGTTAATTTACATTACTTCTTAATTTTACATTCCTTCTCAATTTGTATTTATTTTTCACTTAGTATTGCAAGATTCCTTTACCTTCCCACTGTCTTCATGATACCCTGAGGGTTCTTTCTTCCTTTTGAAGGTACATGTCTTCCAGGCCATTTCACTGGTCCCAGCTATGCCAGTGAAAGGACCCCCCAGAATCAGTCTGGTGTTCTCATAACTCATCACTATAGCTCCCATACCTCACCCAACCTTTCCTCGCTATGAGCTGCACATAACACCCCCTCTCATCTGTATCACTACTACCTACTTGCTAACAGCCACTCACTGTGTTCCCTGGTTTTGATCTTCATCTGCCTTCCCAAGGCTGGCTAACATCATCAGGATATGGAGAGTAACATGATGGATTCCTTTGTGTCTAAGGTCTAACTTTCACTTATTCCTTTAGCCTCCATTTCATCCACTACTCTTCCAGCCACACCCAGCATCCAAATTCTAAATTCTGAAGTTCCAAGTAATTCTCAGGTTCTAAATAAACCACCTTTAGCTACTCTATCATGCCTGCAGATCTTTTTTGCTTCTCAGTGGGCTTTCTGGCTCTTGTTTGTTTGTTTGTTTGTTTTGCTTCAGTCTCTCCCCATACATGACTTTTATGTTTTATTTATGTTTCATTTAGACCCAACCACATAGACCACAGTCTACAATGTCTTCTTTCCTCATGACACATTTCTTCAGCTTGTAGGTGACCTTGATCAAGCCAACTGTTTGTCATCCTTCTGCACCCAGGAGGCAGACTGCTGGGCGGAATTGCTCAACCATATAATTACTATGATAATGAAGGTATGATCTCTAGCTCTTGCCAGGCTTTGGTGACATCTGGCAGTCTGTTTACCTGCACTCATTTTGTTCAGTGTTATCTTTCCATAATACTTATGACATCATCAGCTTGAGAATCAAATGTCTAAACCCAGTGGTACTCTACTCTTAAAACAGCAGAGACCGTGTTTCTTCTACCAGTGCTTCAGGTCATAAATCCCCACTATCCATTGTTCGGCCTTTTGGAAAGCACCTTGTATCTTGTGCTCAGTTCCTTACATGTCACACCCTTCTATTCTCATCCAAACCCTACTGTGTCCAAGGCCATTTCTCTAATCCCCTTTCCCGAGTTTTTGGTCAGTGTGGTCAACTTCTAGACACATTTGTCTGGATATTCTGTAGACACTTCAAATTTAACATTACAGAAGTAAACACATTTTTATACTCAACATATGCTTATTTGTTAGATCCATTATCTCTGTTCAGGGCCCCATCTGTGAAGGTCTGAATGTGTATTCTCATTTCCTAGAACATCAGTAGACAAATACTGTTGACTTCGCTTCAAGAATCGCTTCAAGTGCTGTCTTTAATCCCAGCAGAGGCAAGTGGATCTCTGTGAGTTCGAGACCAGACGGGTCTACAGATTGAGTTCTAGGACAGCCAAGGCTACACTCTGTCTCAAGAAAAGAAAAAAAAAAAACAAACAAACCCAAACATAACTGCAATGACTATCCCAGCAAGATATTCCCAATGGTGCAACAGTGGCATTTACATCTTAGAAGTATCAAACAGCTGTCAAATTTGAATTAAGGCCTGCTCTTTATGATGGAGCCTATGCCTGTATTACAAACCTGCCACCTACACATGGCTGGAGATGTCACAGACCCGAGCGGACAATCTACTACTGCCTTATCCTAAATCAATGTAACTTTTAACTGTATTCTAAAGACTAACCCCTAGAGATAAGTGGAACTCCTACCCCTCATCAAAGAAGCTTCTTTTGGCAGCAGACTGAGGCTACTATAGAGATCCACTAACTGGTCAAAATGCAGAGAGTAAGCAAGCCATCCCAATTTGCCTATCTATATATACCACAACTGCTACACCAAAGGCTCACGGAACACAGGGGTAGAAAGATTTTATGATCCAGAGAAACAGGATGCCTGATGTGAGACAGTGTTTTCTAGGGAAGCAGAGACGCTGCACCCATGAAATCTCAACAACATGGTTGCCTAAATAAGGCCTACAAGATGACCTCAACAGGAGACATGACAATAAGGATGAAGGAAATTTCATGAGGTCCCACCCCTAGATGGAGAACTACATCAATCAACAGCTGCCAAGAGAGGCAGAACTGGTTCTCTCCAGGGACTAATCCCCTGATAGGTTATCTAGTCCCTAGTGGTTAATCCCAAACACATGAACATATAGCAATACCCAATGGACTCAGTAGATTCTTTACAAGTAGATAACAATAATAACTTTAGAAGAAGAAGCAGTCAATCTGAGAACAATTCACTGTGAAGAGGAGTTTGATGGGAAGAGGGATGTAAATGATACAAACACAGTCTACTCATATATGAAATTCTCAAGAAAAAACTGAAAAATTAATAAATGGGTATAAGCATAAGTTGTCCATGCTCAAGTGGGTGGGTTCAATATCCAAGAATATGTAAAAGCACAAATTGGACTTGATGGTTTTAAGGAAAATAATGGAGAATAAAGTTGGGTGGGCAGGAAAGGCAGTAATCTGGGAGGAGTTGTGGGAGGAAGGATGAATATGGTCAAAATATACTATAAGAGCATTTCAAAGAATAAATTGATTAAAAAACAAAAAATACAATTAAATATATTAGTTGTATCTTTTTCATTCTTGCCACCGCTTCTTCCAAGAAACTGAGTGGTGGTGAGAATCAATTCCAACTTCACTATCATCTTGTCAGAAGCTGTGTAGTAGTCTTTTGCATGATCTGCCCGAGTTCATTCTTTCTGTAGCTCCCTGTCTGATTTCTATAGCCTTCCATAGAGAACTGCCTTCTATAGCTCAAATTATTCAGTGCTATTCCTTCATGTGTTCCTCTTCTCCCTAGGCTGCAAACTCTCAAATTTCAACCCTTTTACACATTCAAAAACATTTATTGAACATGTGCTGTTGGCAGACTCCACTCTCAGTATTGGAGATACAAGAGTAGACCACAAAGATGACTTATGATAAGTGGGGCTTACAGTCTTATGGAGGAAGGAAAAAATAAGTAAGTGCATGTGAAAATATGAATGGCAATGCATGTTTCCTAAACACATGTTTAGGAAAACACACTATGATGAGCTTGGTCCTGAGTTAGGAAGTTAGGAAGGACTTCACTGAGAAGGTGACCCCTGAGCCAGGACCATCAATGTCAAGGCCCAGGGAAGAGAACTCTGGTCAAAAAGGAACAGCAGAGGCAGGGTCCTGGATAAGGAAGTGCTACAGGAGTGGGTGCTGTAGGATGGGAGAGAGTAAGAAAGGCTCTGGCCACACGTGGGCTTTGCAGATCAGAATAAGGAGTCTGCATCTTAGCTAAGACTCACGGAGAACACTATGCAAGGGAACTGAAAAAATATCAACTCAGTATAGTATAATTCACATACATTAATCTTTACCCATTCTAGGGTATATACTTTATGTGCCTATGCAATAGTAACAACAAATAAGATTCAAAGGCTTTTCTCACCTAAAGTTCCTTGTTGCCCTTTCCCAGTTTTAGCCTTCTATGATCCAGTCTAGTGTTTTTGAGCATAGTTCCAATGGGTTAAGGGTCATCTACCCATATGGATATCCAGTTGTTTTAGTATAATATGTAGAAAAGACTATCTTCTCTCCAATGGATTACCTTGCCTTCCTGTCAAAGGCCATCATAGATGGGTGGGTCTATTTAAAAACCTCTTATTCTGTTCTTCTGATGTTGAGATTTTATCCTTATGCCTACACCATACTGACAATACCATCTGCCTCATTCATCTGCAGTGTCTGCTGCATCTCTGACTCATGGGATGCTCAGCATGTTTGTCTGGTCAATGAAAGGCGACTTCTCTGAGGGCAGGGATTATGACACTAGTTTCAAACACAATCAACGCCCCCTTTCTTTCCAGAAAAAGAAAAGCATTTGCTCCACAGTTTCCTTGAGATTCTAATGACTTCCTTGTCTCTGTATAGCCAGCATACCCCCCAACCAGTACAGACCTTATGGCCAAGGCAGATAGCGTGCAAACTGTGAGTCATGATAGTACCTGCTGTGACTTTAGAGATGGTCTTCTTCACAGGGCTGAATTTGTGGTTTCCTTTCATCAGGGTGATTGTAAGTTGACATGTCCAATGTAGAACAGTGGCTAGAAACAGGGCTTCAGCCAAGAGCAGGGCTTCAGGTTTTAGATAGGCTAGGTAGGGCCTTGTTCTGACCACTGTTATTGGGGCAAGTACTTACTCAGCACAAGAGAACTCTATGCATACTCAGCCCTTGCATATTGCCTGGCTTGATAAACAAGAATGACTGGCTCCACCTACAAAGCTTTCTTTACTGAGGCAGGGCTTCTTAAGTCTCCTTTTAAGTGATGTTATTTAGAGAATGTAGCTTGGTAGCTCAATGCCATATTGACTGTCACCCTGTCACCAGAAGCCATTGCAGTGACTTCCAATCCTGGGTCCTTTGTAGGCACTCCAGTCTAAGAATGCGAAGGCTACTTCTTTGGGTATCACACTGGAGTGAACATGCAGAGAGCAAA